TGACTCCAGATGTGTCTAAAGTGACTCCAGATGTGTCTAGAATGACTCCAGATGTGTCTAAAGTGACTTAAATGGGACAAAAATAAAACAAACGTCTCCAAAACAATTCAAAACCGTCCAAACTGTGTTAAAACCTTTTTAATGTGACTCATAGAATTTGTCCAACTTGCTTCGCCAAAGTGACTTCAGACAAACTGAATGATGGACTAAATGTGACAGAACTCTGCTGCTGACGGTTCCGTCCTGACACCTGTCCGACAGGTGAGCGCCTGCTCCTACCGTTCTGCTCGCTCCAGGACGTCTCCTCCGGTTGCACGCTGGTTCCGTTGGCAGCCGGAGCAGCTTCTTCACTCGTCGTGTTTTCTTTCGGAGTCGGTCGCTCTGAGATGAAACACACAAAAGCAGAAGTCAGACAAGGAAGGAGCCGCACACTGGACTGAAGCCCGGCTCGGCCCACAGACACGCACCCAGGTCGTCCACGTAGACCGGCTCAAAGGTGCCGATGGGCAGGTTCAGGTGGTCCACCGGGCCCGGCCGCTGCAGGTCGAAGGAGTACGTCTGGACAGACAAACGGAGAGCTGGTGAGTGTGAGGCGCCAGCGCTCGGCTACGAGTGTCGACATTCGAGTTTCTCACCCTGGAGACTCGGCGGAGGAAGTAGAGGATGACGCACAGAACCACGATGACCAGCAGGATCAGCGCCAGCACCACGTAGCCTGCACACACGAGTCCAGTTAGCCGGCGCCTCCAGGCCGGAGCAGCCCGATGCACACGTACAGGTTGGTCAACAGGTCGGTCAACAGGTCGGTCAACGGGTCAGTCAACAGGTCGGTCAACAGGTCGGTCAACAGGTCAATCAACAGGTCAGTCAACAGGTCAGTCAACAGGTCGGTCAACGGGTCAGTCAACAGGTCAGTCAACAGGTCAGTCAACAGGTCAGTCAACAGGTCGGTCAACGGGTCAGTCAACAGGTCGGTCAACAGGTCAGTCAACAGGTCGGTCAACGGGTCAGTCAACAGGTCAGTCAACAGGACAGTCAACAGGTCAGTCAACAAGTCGGTCAACAGGTCAGTGACCAGGTCAGTGACCAGGTCATTCACGTTGACCCACTAACTAACACCACAGACACCAGCTGCTATAATGTTCTGTTTCTGTCACTTCCTGCTTCAGTAGCACTCGATCCAGTTTTCCTTTAAGTCTCAGTAATCGTTAGTTTGGACCTATTTTCAGAGGCGGATTGATACACAAAGAAAATAGGAAAACAAAACTCAACCAGAAACGGTGAAACTACGAGAATCTCCAGTAATTTGGGTTTTTTAAGGTTCAGTAAAAAACATTTTGATGTTTAAAGACAATGAAATGACATAAAATAATAATTACAATAATAACAATAGAATCAACCTGTAGCGTGGCGTTCTGACTCGTTAAAACACTCGTAGCTATTAGACGCTGATGAAAACACTTTGGTTCAACATGTTCTTGAGAAAACTTGTAATTAAAGAAGAAATCTCTCATTGAACAACCAATCCGTCCACAGTGACAGAACCCACATCTGCTGTTCTTTGGTCTCCAAGTTTAGAAGCAAATGTTCAGTAATAAACGTAAATCTATCAGCTTCTAAATCCAGACGTCGTTGGTAGAATAAAATGTCAGGTGTTCTTACAGCAGGTCGGTGCGTATCGGAGTAAAAACGTGATGGACGGTTGGAGTCGTTCAAAGTCTGTTTCTGCATCACAACAATAGAACAAAGTGAAGAGAGACGTTCTCACCCCACGACGAGGGACTCGGTTTGTCCTCAGCTGCTCCTGAAACAGACAAACAGCAGCTTCAGTCATTCAGGCTAAACTAAAAGCAGGTATTTCACATCGTTACCGCTTTGGCCTCGAGTGGAAAACAGAAGGAAATATGGATATGTCATAAACCACATAGTAAAAATAACATAAAGTCATAATAATACAGACAGTTGTGGCTGCAAACTAAACATCTAAAACTGTTCAGTTAACAGACGTAAGCACCAGGGAATAGAATAGAATAGAATAGACTGAATAGTTAATTGTGTTGTGGGCTTTTTGTGCGTCTCAGTGATGCACCAGTTGTGTGTTTGTCAGCTGACGGTTACAGAAGCTGAGAGTCACAGTTGTGGTTTGAACACAGGAAGACAAAGTGTGAGTTTGCAGCAGCAGCGTACCGTCTGTGGATGGGGCATGATCCGTCACCATAGAAACCGTCATCACGGAGGTGTAGGGTGGAACCGGTGACGTCGAGCCTTCGGTTGTCGTTGCATTAACCGAGTCTGTAGAAGGCTGTAGGAGACGTAGAAGAGAAAAATCAGAAAATCTGGCAGAAAAAAGACGTTAACACATAAAAGACTGGAACGATGTTTTTAGCTGATTTGAATCAAGTCAAACTGATGCGATGGTGCCACAGTGCAGGTCTGTAACGGAGCACAACAAGGGACATCTACTGAAGTCTCTGTGAAGCAACCATCAGTTCAGAGGACTTCAATAAAATAATAATAATTAGTTATTTTATTGTCAAACTTTTGGCCTGTTTTTATTATTTTAACACTTAACATGTAAACGAATACTTTCTATGAGATCTGAGGAGTTCCAGTCGTTCTAATGCTTCTGCTGACACTTTAGCCTTCAGACAATCATAAAACCAACAAGGATGCTACGTGTTCAATAAAAACAATAACTGTTGTTTGTTTGTTTGTTTGTTTGTTTGTTTGTTTGTTTTGTGTCATGAGTGGATCCAGCTGAATGCGTTTCTTCATGTTTACACATTTATAATTATGAAGCTAGCATGTTAGCCTCTTAGCTAGGTCATTTTCCAGCTGCGTGGCGCTCACAGTCCGGTCTCCTCAGAATTCAGCACAGAAGATCAAATTCTTCAACAGGCTCACAAAAGCACTAAAACATGAGTTTTACTCCAGTTGGTGTTTAACATGACATAAAACCAGCTGCTGGTTCATGACCGACACTACGCTGAATCATTGGTTTAGTAACTGTGGACTGTGTTACCATGGAAACCGCCTCCGCAGGGGCAAGTGGTAAAGTCAGATTGGACGCTATGGAGCCGTTAGCGTCATCCTTAGTTTCATTCAGGAGCAGTGGAGTCGGGACGACTGAAGACATGAAACACAATCAGACTGATGAGTGGAAGTACAGATATAGGACGGAACAGTTCAGCAGAGCACAGAATGGACCACTAGTGTGAACGAGTCAGCAGGTTCTGCTGTACCTTCATTCTCCACCTCCTGCTCGTCACCAGGTGGAGAATCTGCAGTTTGGCTTCGTCCTCTTGAAACAGAAGAAATCACCAGAACTGAGACACAAACAGAGAAACAAGATCATGAACCTGAACTGGACAAAGGCTGAAGAATTCTTTAAGAATCACCAGAACTACAGCATTTATCAGAGCGAGACAGCAGGAATATTCCTCAGGTTCAGCTTTCTGAGGACCAGCAGTCGTCTGTCACTGCGACCTGAGTGAAGGTGGATTCAGCTGCGCTGCAGACAGTGTTTCCTCAGACGGCTGCATTTATCTGCTCGTCCCAACAAGCCTGCAATGACTCTACAAGTCATCTACAGTTAAACACGGGCAAGAAATGATCATGGATCTGTTGGTCTGTCCCCCCGAACCTCCTCAGAACATCTGGTTCTGTGTCTGCCGCAGCTTCATCTAATGATCAGAGTTCTGGGTCTGGAAAAGTCCATTAAAGTGATCAATCTGGACCCTCCTCTGTGGACTTGAAGGACCTGGACCTCTGGAACATTCACAGTCTGAAGGTAGAACTGTGGTCAGTAGATAAAGGTGCTGCAGGTACAGAACCAGGTCGGGTTTCAGATTGTGTTGGATTCATGCTGAAAGCGTGAAGCAGAGTTTAGCAGCAGGTGGTTCTGGACTCACCCAGGAAACAGAGCTGACTCTTGAGCCTCATGGTCGTCATGAAGGAGCTTCTCTGCCACATGTGCTGTCCTACAGGTTTGGATCCGCTGCAGCTTTCGCTCTTATTTTCTGTATTTTGTTCCGTTTTAATCTTCCTCCTCGGCGCGCTCACTTCTGGTCGCTCTGAGCTCTTCCTGCTCTGATCTTCATCTTTCCTCTTCCTTGTTCTTTCCGCTGCACCTCGTTCGCTTTGAACGGTCACTTTCTCTGGAACGCTCATAAATCACTGAAGTCTCTGAACCTTCTGACTGCAGCAGAACAGAGCTGCTCCTTCAGACACTAAACGTCCTGAGAGACAGATGCAATAAACCACATGTTCAGCTATAGAACATACCTAAAGCATGTTAACATGTTCGTGTCCTCAGACGCTGTAAGAGATCCAGTAGCTGAGAGTAAAGCTGTGAGACTGACTCCCAGGCTGCAGCAGAGGGAGCTGCATCCTGACCACGTACTGCATGCATTAACACTGAACACCACATTTACTGGAGCTTATGTCAGTTTCATTTATGTCTGTTTGTCTCGTTTGATCTAATTTTGTGTCTCATTTGTGTTGTCTTGTGTCTTAGTTTAAACAAACTCATTTAAAAACAGACTGATTTGACTGGATGTTATCAGTCATGTAGCAGAAGATCAGTGAGATCTGAGTAACTCTGAGCAGCTCCAGTGAAAGCTGTGAACTGAGGCAGGTCTGGATCAGCTCGACCCGCGACCCAGCAGCAGCTCTGCTCCACTTCAGTGTTTCTGTGAAACGCAGCCTTCAGGAAGTGAGTCATCGACCGCTGAGCTCGACAGGAAGCTGCTTCGCTTTCTGTCCTCGGTAGCTGAGGCGGGTTTTAAAAGTCAACACGGCACAACGGTTTCATGTTGGCGCCTAAAACCAGACAGACAGAATCACACAGCTGAGTGTTGAAGGCGTTTATTCAGAGTCTGCATGTGTAGTGGGTTGGTTTAGTATCTGGTTAACGGCGGGTTAACCAGCACAGAACATGGGTCTGTGAAGGTGAACCGAGCCAGAACATTTAGTAGAAGAAGGTCTGTACAGATGTTCAGACAGCTGGAGGGAGAAGGTCAGCGCTGTGTCTCTTGGAGGTGCTGATCAGTGAGGCTCAGCAGCGAACACGAGCGACACCAGAACACTGGCTTCTGTCATCAGCAGGACACCGAGCGACTCAGACACACAATCAGGACCAACAAACATAAAAACAAATGAAACACAGACGACCAAACGACGACACGTAAGAACAGCAACGACATGAAATGACAGCAAAGAGACAAAGAGGCAGAAAGAGACTCAAACAGGACAACAGATGAGACAAAAGCACACAGCTGAGATACAGAACAGCACCAAAGACATGGACGGGTCGAGAATCCAGAACACTGTAGAGATGAATGAAGCAGAACACATCAGGTCCGGCTCATCCGCAGACGTCTCTGATGGAGCTCCTCCTCCGAACACGTTTAGGAACCAGAATGTCAGAGAAGCAGCAGCAGCAGAACCCAGGACAGGCCCAGCTCGATGCCCTCGGCTGCCTTCAGGAAGGTCTTTGCTGCAGCTGCAGGTCAAGAAACACGAGGAGGAACCGTTAGGATGCAGCACCGTGTGCAGAGACGTCCTGTCAGCAACGCCTCAGCCCATAAGCACAGAGCTTCAGGATGTGGATGACTGGGTCTGTGTTCAGCTCAGGACTGGTCCAAAAAAGACATAAAGTCCATTTGTGTCACAGGATTTGATTAAACAGTTTGTGAACCAGAGTTAATACGACTGTCGGGACATCAGCACCCACCAGAACCAGAACTGTTAATTACAGAAAACGTTTCTTTTTCAGTTTCAGGACAAAGTCTGGAGACGTTTGCTGTTGTTTTCTGGATTTATTTCACATTTACAGAGTTCATGCTGCAGCGACACCAACGGACAGAACAGGCTCAGAGGGTTGGTTCCCTCCACCTCCATCAGGCGCCAGCATGAACATCCACCTGAGCTGGTGGTTGCACAACAGAATCTTTGATGAATTGTTTTTTAAAGGTCGCTCCTCACTGTCAGACAGAAACGCTGAAAAACCTCCGATTACTTTCAGCCTCTTTACATCCGACCTGCTCGGCTGTTTGACTGGTTTTATTTTCTGGTCTTGAGAAGCAGAGGACCAGTGTCAGAGTGAAGTGAGTGAGAAGTTCAGCAGCACAGGTGGATGGACCCATACTGGGTTATCTGTAACCTCCAGCTGTTCTGATCTCACCCTGTTCCAAACATGGCGACCTGAGAGTCAGATTCTATCAGCAGAGCTCATCTGTGTGACGAGCGTAGTGTTGATGTGAACAGTGCCTGATGTCTGCTGCACCCACACACCTGAGGAGGAGGTTACCTGAGCGGGGAGGGGCGTGGCCTCCGTCTGACGGCAGAGGGACAGCTGTGGTGCTGTCGGGGATGAACAGGGTGAAGTTCATTTCTCCATCAGATTCATAATCATAATCTGCATCCTCTTCATCATATTCATCCTCTTCATGACCTTCATGATCTGCTCTTGTCAGAATCACTGCAGCACCTGCAGGTGAATGAACAGGAAGTCGTTAAGACTGTTCAGACCAACACACCTGTAACAGATCTGCTGCTCTGTTCTGTTCCCGGGGCTGCAGGTGTCTCGGTGGTTAGCACCGTTAGCGCCTCACAGCTAGAAGGTCTAGAAACATCCATCCATCATCTCTCCACCTTAATCCTCACTAGGGCCATGGGGGGCGGAGCCTATCCCAGCCGACTCAGGGTGAAGGCAGGTTCACCTGGACAGGTAACCAGTCTATCACAGGGCTACACTTAGAGACAGACAACCAAGCACACTCACATTCACACCTACGGACAATTTACAATCACCAATTAACCTCAGCATGTTTCTGGACTGTGGGAGGAAGCCGGAGAACCCGGAGAGAACCCACGCTGCACGGGGAGAACATGGAGACTCCACGCAGAAAGATCCCGGGTGTCCTCACCGGGACGCCAACCGGCGACCTTCTAGCTGTGAGGCCACGGTGCTAACCACTGATCCACCTGCAGCCTGTCCAAAAACATGTTGTAGTTTTTAAATGCTTCACATCCAGAGTGGCTCCAGGCTGGAGTCCAGGTATTCATTCAGTCACGCTTCTTAAAGATCCGCGTTCAATGCTGAACAAGTTTCAAGTCAAGTTTGTCAAATCATGAACTTTTTAAATGTTGTTATTCTGGACGAGCTTCAGGTCGAAGCGCTGGCAGCTTTACAAGCTTCAGGTCATGTTGGACAAATGACTGAAAAGCAGAGCTGGAGGCACCTTCAGAGGTCGGGTGGCTCCATGAAACTAGTTTGTGTTGTCATCGACTCACCCAGAGCCCAGATCAGCTGGTACACCTTCATCTCCTTCTTCTGTTTTTGGCTGAAAAGCTTCCACCCTGCTGACGACCGTCCAGAGCTGCTGCTCAGCTGTCGGTTTATAACGCGTCAGACTGAGAGATCCAAGAAACCCAGACAGGAACTAAGAAGCCACAGTGTGCTACTTCTGCAGCCTGCTCATCACTCAGACCCCAGTCTGGTTCTGTCTGAGCTTCTTCCTGGTTGAAAGCAGTTCTTCCTCCTGCTGAGTTTCAGCTTTATCTCAGTACAATAACTCAGTAAAATGTTCTGTGGCAAAAGAATGTCTGATAACTTCAGTACAGTTAAAGAAGCAGTTTTACCTTCTTACTGTGGATGAGTCCAGTAAGGTGATCAATCTGGACCCTCCTCTGTGGACTTGAAGGACCTGGACCTCTGAACATTCACAGTCTGAAGGTAGAACTCTGGTCAGTAGATGAAGGTGCTGCAGATGTTAATGTGCAGAGCCTCCACCTGTCCACCAGGGGTCGCTGTCTGTTCTCTGCAGAGCTGATTGAGTCACACCTGGGCCCAGTGGTTCTGACATGTCCCGTGTCCGGCTCTGTCTGACACCAGCAGCACCGGTTCTGTTTGTTCTGTTGCACGTTTTGGTTGGTTGGTTTGTTAAAACATAAAGCTTCCGTCACCACATAGCTGCTGTCTCATTACAGTTTTTGAGCCGAGCTGCAACAAGAACCAGATGTTCTGAGGAGGTTCTGGAGGAGCTTTGATCAGATCTGGTTGGTTTCGTTCTGTGGAGCTCGTTCAGAACCCTTTAGCCTCCTTCAACACACAAACAATGAGCAGTTCAGAAGAACCAGACAAGCTGCATCATGCTTCATGTTGACGTCAGTTTAATCGTTTTCACATCGTCGTGGCAACAATTTATTCCAGAAGGAAAGACGAGAGACAGTAGAACAGAACAGAACAGTCCCAGTTTGAGCTCATCGGGTCGGTCCGTCCTGTGAAACCGTCGGAGAGACTCGGTTTAGAGAGAAGCTGCTCGCCTGGTTTCAGTCTGACCCAAATCTACACCTCAGACCCAGACTGGTTCTGCTGGTGGTGAAGATCAGAAACCAGCTCAGGTCTGAGGACAAAAACACGTTAAACTGTGGCAGCAGCAACCACGACCACGGACGGACGTCTGCAGGAGAAGAATCTGCTGCATTTTATTGCACAAAGTCTCGGCGTCAGTGGGAGTAAGGCTTCTGCTCAGCTCAGTTTGAGCCTCAGGTTCAGCATCTCAACACCATCAGAACGCTGTGAGGCCCACCGGCACCGCTCTGCAGAGGCAGAGCTGCTTCCCAGGTTTACCAGGAAGTCAAAGAACAATTAGAAATAACATGAAATGTTCCACCTCAATGAATCACATCAGCTCAGTTTGTTCATGATTTAAACCCAAAAACAACGAGAACGTGAACCAACGAGGAGACACGTCATCAGATAAATGCAGGTTCAGCAGATTAAAATGAAAGAAACAGCTGCAGATGTGAAAGCAGTGAAGGAACATCTGATGTGAGAAGCTGAACGTCACATCTTTTCAGATTTCACTGAACTGAACCGAGTCCAGCAGCTGGTGGGACGGGCCTGAAGTCCAGCAGCTGGTGGGACGGGCCTGAAGTCCAGCAGCTGGTTTGGTTCATCTGAAGTCTTTAGTTTGCTTTCACTAGTTTCTGCATTTCATCCTGAGCAGGTCGACTTAAATCTGATTCTCTGCATTTCAAACCAGACGTCAGACTTTTTACTTACAAACAATTTAGTGCAACGATTTAAGAAAACTTCATAGAACACGTGCTGGCCGGGTCCAGAAGCCTCGGTGTTGGTTCATCTTCACAGTAATCTGATGAAAATCATCGTATTCACACGTGGACAAACAGTTTCAAGTGCTGCAGGAATATATACAGACTGTGCAGATGAATAATGAAACACCGATTTACTGTAGAACCCCGACATTGTTCTGCTGATGGTGTTTGTTTTGGACTTTAACTCACAGACGGACCATCGAGGTTCAGCAGCTGGACGCTCCATGTTCAGCTGCTCTTCCTCCGTTTGGACACATTAAACTTGCAGTTTTTAGTCAGTTTCAAATCTTTTAGGACCACCTCAGAGTCCTTTCACACATTTTTAAACCATTCGGACGGTTCTGAGGTCGAGTTGTACCGGTCCAGCCTCACGCTGGGTAAATAACCAGCCAACAGACTCCACGCTGTTAAAATGCTGGTGAGTTGAAACGGACCAGCTGACTCTCAGCAGCTGGTCTTCTGCTCAGAGAGGATCGTCCTGAAGCAGACCGTTCTCAGGACCATGACCCACGTGGTGCTATTCCTCGGCAGACCAGTCGGGGGCGATGCTGTGCTCCTGGGCGATGGCGGCCAGCTCCTTCAGGAACTCTGCGAACAGGACGATGGCGAAGACTCGGCTCTTGGCCTGAGGAGGGATGCTGGGACACGGAGGCAGAACGCTGAGGGGAGGCAGAGGCAGAGCGTTCTTCAGCGACCCGTTAGGAAGGGATGGATCCAGGAGGACGTCTCCGCCCTGAGACTGGAGGCTCTCTGAGGACACATGGACAAGAAGAACTGAGGACTGGTTCTCACCTGCACCTTCAAATGAAGCAGTGACACGACCCCAGAACAGACCGTCCAGAGGTCCGTCCTGTTCCTCTGGTTCTCTACGCCTGGCTTTTAGATGCACCTTTAAGGTCACCTGACTTCTACCTTCACATGTGATCTGACGGAACCATTCAGCTGCCACTCGGCTGACTTTCTGCTGCAGGAGCTCGGAGCAGAGACGAGGCTGAATGTCGACGTGATCCATCTGCCAATCATCCTTCAGTCTTTCTGTTTCCACTAAACAGCCTCAGCTTTGCCTCAGAGACCAGAACCAGCAGATTCTGGACGTAACTCCAGGTCTATGAAGGAACCAGAACAACGGAGGTTTGTTCTTCATCCAGCAGCTTCTTCTTCTCTAACATGTTCTCCAGATGTTCTAACAGAACAAACCTCTGTTGTTCTGTTTCCTTCATAGAACTGGAGTTAACTCCGGTACCTCCTGTTTGGACCCTATGGTGGAAACACAAACACTAGAAGGACGATTACGTGACGGTTCCTGCTGAAGAACTCGTTGTCGTCTCCAGAGTGAACCATCAGCGCTGAAACGTGCACGGCAGCATTTCAGACCACTCAGGACTAGTTCCCCAGAGCAGGAACTGTTTACCCTGAAAACCCATGAAGAGGTTCTACAGAGACGGTTCTTGTGGTCAGAATTCGTCCAAACATTCAGGCTGCCCAGAGCAGTCCACGAGCTGCTGACAGCTCAGTGGTGACGTGGAAAATCAGCTTCTTCACTTTGACGTCACAGTTAGACCAGAAGAAACCACTGCCATTAGCTTAGCACTAGCTTAGCATTAAACTGGAACCAGGGGGAACCCCCAGTCTGTCCAGTCCCTCTACGGTTCTCTGACTCGTGCTTCAGAACCCTGTCGGTTCTGTGCAGGCCTGTTCTGTATGCAAAGCGCCTGCTCTGGGAGTTTTCATGCTCACTGCTCCTACGGCTGCTGTTTTCATTCCTGGCTAGCTCTCCTCTGTGTGGCTTCACATCTCGTGGTGTGTCGATGTGCTCATGAACCTCTGAATTTGCCGTCCTGGTCCTTGGCCAACAGGAACCTCCAGGCCTGGGTGAGCAGCGCTGGATAGTCGGGTCGGGCTGCTACGTAGCGCTCGACCTGAGCGTGCACCGACTCCAGCACCTGCACAGGAAGAGAGCTCACGTCACATCATCGCCTCCAGGCCCGGGTCGGTGGCAGAAGGAGGGCATCCGAGGGGAACCTGACTTTACCTGGTGCAGGGTCCGTACGTTGGGCTGCTGGTGCTGGTCGGTGCAGAGCAGGAAGGATCTGAGCAGAGGTTGCGGGTACGAAGCCAGCTGGGCCAGAATTCCCGTCACCAGCAGGTTCACAGCGATGGAGTTCTCCAGAAGGTTCTCCAGCCGCGACAGCAGGACGCTGATGAACGGACCTGAGGCATGATGGGAAAGTACAGGTGAGTGGGAGTCCAGAGAGCAGTGTTTAGACTTTAATAAGCTCAGAACATCTCACAGTCATTCAGAATGCAGATCAATGCTTCCAGATGGGAGCACTTATCTTCTGCTTGTTGTTAGCAGGTTAGCATGTTAGCATGACCCTCAGAGACACAGGACACACGTTAATCATACGGGTTGTTGGTTCCTTCTTTTGTTTCCTTTTGGACTGTTCTGAATCACGTGGGACAAATTTAAAGGAACTTTGGACATTCAGACTTTTTGACACGTCTTTCTTGGACTTTGGTAACCTCCAACATATTTGGGTCACATTTTAAGTCATTTTAAAAATGTTGTTCCCTTCTGGACCAGCTTTCGGGAGACGAGCTGACACTCTGGATGGATTTGATGAACTCGACTGGACTTGACGTGTGTAATATCAGGACAATAGGACTAAACATGAAATATGTCGGATCAGATCAGTAGCTGACAGCTTGATGTTTGACCACAGTGTGAGCTTGACAGCATTACAGCTGGTGTTTACCTGTAAATGGAACTCCATGTTTCCTGCTGCCGCTCTTCATCCTCTCCTCCTCCTCCTCCTCCTCCTCCTCCTCCTCCATCTCCTCTTCCTCCTCTGCATCTTCCAACGATGAGGTGAAACCAAACTCGGCGCTCAGCTCCTCCTCGTCCTCTACGAGTTTCTGACGCAGTGCTCGGACGCGCTTCCTGAATGTGCTGATGTCATCGGTGATGTCATCACAGTCTGGCTCCACCCCTAGCGAGAGCATGAGCTCGTGGTACTGGGACAGCAGGTCGCTGCTGCTGGTCGCTCTGTTGTCAGGCAGACTGGGACACTTGGCATTGGACAGGGTGAGGTCACGTGACTCGGACTCGACATGGCCGTTGGGTAAAGCGTTGGTGGCTAGCTGTGCGGTGTGTCGTTGTGTGTTGCGTTGCTGCTGCTGGGTTGTGTAGGTGTGGTTGACACAGTCGCTCAGGTTACAGTTTGGTTTAAAAGTCTCGCTTCCTTCATCAGGATCCTCACGTTCGTCGATGATGTGATTCTTGACATTGAACCCGTTGGTGAAGTTCCGACGTCCTGCTGGTCCTGCTGCTGGTTCTGCTGGTCCAACCGTCCTCTTTAGCTCATGGTCTCCGTCCTCATTGGTTCTCCTGGTGTCCCGTCCACAGTCCTCGCTCCTCCTCCTCGTCTCCTTGCCTCCATCTTCGCTCCTCCTCCTCGCCTCCTGATCGTAGTCTTCGCTCCTCCTCCGGGTCGACATGATGCTGTTGACTGTTTCCGTCACCGTCCTCCCCACTGATGGAAACGCAGCTGTTGTCGCTGCTGTTGGTGCTCGCGGGCCTTTTGAGATGCTTCCGCGAAATCGCCGGTTTGCCACCATGATCCGCTCCAAAATGGCCGCCTTTGTGTCTTTTTGAGCGATGAGGTCGTAGACTAGAACGTCGTCCTGAAACTCCGATTCCTCCACGTAGGCGCCGTGGACCAGCCGGGTCGCGCTGCGTCTCATTTCCTGGATGTGTCGAGGAGGCAGTGGCGGAGGAGCAGGTGAAACAGTGAACCTGTCGGTCTCCATGGTTACACCACCATTCGCCAGCGCCATGTTTATCACCGCTGATGAATCCTCGTCTGCAAAGATGTCGTCCCACTCCAGCTCCAGGGCAGAGCTGGTTCTGCCGGCCTGGTTCCCGGTGGAGACGGTATCAGAGGAGGACGGTGTCGGGGAGGCGGCTGAGGGGGGAGGAGTTACAACCAGAGAGCCAATGGAGTCGCTCTTCACTCGCCGCACAAGCTCCTCCTCCTCGTCCACGTCGCCCCCTGGTGTGTCTGACCGGTACTGCTGAGGAGGAGGGTCGACGCCGTCGTACGGAGCCGACCAGAACCGACACGCCCTGAGGACGAACCAGAACATCAAACTGAAGGCAGTGGACGCAAATAAAATCTACTTTCACTGGAACAGAACATCAGAATCATCTGGACTTCATCGTCTACTTTTACAACATCTCTCATGTTTGCTCATCACTGCCAGCTGTGAGTCCAGCACCAAGAACCGGACTGTGGAGACCAGATGGACGACGTCAGCCAGAACGTTCTGGTGCAGATTTCTAATAACGAGGATCAATATGAGCCCTGAAGAAACACATCGATCGATCCCTCGTGTTGAACTTATCATACAAACTGTGGTGAGAAAGTGCAGTGCAGCCATAATCAATAATCACATCAGTGTGCAGCAGCTCCTGTTTAACTCTACAGGTGTAGTACTGCGGTTTGTCCAGCAGGTGGAGCTCCAACACAGTGAACCAGTTGCATCATCATCAGGTCTCTGGGAGTCTGATCAGCAGAGCAGTTTGGTTCTTGTGTCACTTTGGTCAAAGGTTTGTGGTTCTGTTCAGGTTTTAGTCCTGAAACGATCGAGGACAGATTCTGAGCATCCTGGATAAACTCAGTCGCTATCAGTCAGTTTTTATGTCATTTTGAACAAACCTAAACTCAACTTCAGACGAACTCTGAATCATTTCCTACTTTCTCTTTCTGCAGGTTTTGTGAATTAAATTATCAGAGAGTCGACTCTTCTCTCTGGTCTCCATCGTCCCAACAGAGTCCTGCTGACAGAACACGTCTCTGAGTTCTGTCTGCTGGTTCTGGTCCACAGAGCTGCAGGACTTGATGCTGCAGTGATCCGGTGAATCAGACTCACCTGTACGAGGTGCAGATGGCCTGGCGGGCGTCCCACAGGTAGTGCAGGTAGTTTACGTCCATGAGGAAGTCTGAGCCTCGACAGTAGGCGACGCTGTCCGACACCGACAGATCTGGCACACAGAGAGCTGCGGTCAGGACATGCTGGAGGAGGTTCACCTGTGCGGCGTTACCTGCACTCACCTGGTGCTCTGGGCCAATGGATGTGCTCTGATTGGCTGCCGCTGCGCAGGTGAAGCGGACACCAGGAGGGCAGCAGCAGCAGCAGCGACGAGGCGCTGCAGGAGTAGCAGTCCGTCTGCTGCAGGGAGCAGCGCTGCCTCCTGCTCAGGTGGCTGCAGGGGAGCAGGTACCTGAGGAGACACAGCGCCCCCGCAGGACAGGTGACACAACCACAGGCAGAGCGTCAGACACACCGTCAGCTGAGCTGGTTTCAAATGTTTTAATGAAACTCAGCTGTGAAACCACATAATAATGATGTTATGAATGTATTCACATCCTGCTCAGTGCTGCTCAGCACCGGGTCACCGGGCTTTTCATTTGTTCTTCAGACAAGAATTCACCAAAAAGACTCGTTCATGTCAAAGTGCAAACTGATTATTTCTACAAAGTGACTTCAGTAAAACGTCTGTGTCAGTGAACGAAGCCGTCAGTGGACCGACCTGAACACCAGCTGCAGCATCACGTCCTCACAGAAGAGTCCGATCAGAGTCCTGAACAGAGCCAGAGACACCGTCCCTAACTGGCACACAGACAGCAGCTGATTGGACGACGGACTGCAGGGCCTGAAGCCGAGCATCACAGAGGAGCTCTTACCTGGAAAGGTGTGTTCACTCTGCTGACCAGCGTGTCCAGGATGTGCACGTTGTCGTGTCTGTGCAGCAGGATGAAGGAGAGGAAGGTCTGCAGGAGGGCAGGTTCAGAGACGGAGCGGAGGAACAGATCCAGGTAAGCTGTGGTGGTCATCACCTCCTCCACAGTCAGCTGACACACCCACCACAGGTGATAGGACAGGAAACAGGAAGTCAGCGTGCAGACACAACTCCAGAACCAGCCGGTTCTAGTCTAAGATCAGAGTTCTACCTTCAGACTGTGAATGTTCCAGAGGTCCAGGTCCTTCAAGTCCACAGAGGAGGGTCCAGATTGATCACTTTAATGGACTTTTGTCCATCATTTCTGAGCCTCAGAACTTCATCAGTCCAGCAGATAGACACATGACATTTAGGAGGAAGAACACATCTG